TATTTTTTATCTCTGATCGAATGTATTGGCCCACGGTTTTGATCAAGCAATCCATGTTGGTTATATCTGCATTAGCAGTATTTACATGTGCCTCGTGTATTATATTGTTCACATTCTTTGTAAGAGTGACAATGTTAGGTTGTTGCCTAGCTGTAGTAATAGACACTTTATTCCCATAATGCTTCAACAGCTCACGTTTCAACTGAGCTGTAGTGTACAGTTCATCATCACTTAGTCCACTCCTCAATTTCATAACTGAATGTAAATCATTTAACGTTATAGTATCATCATCATTCTCCTCTAGGTATGAAATGGCTGCCTCAAATGCTGTTAACTTGGACATATTCTTTGGTCGACCGAGTTTCTGTTTCTTCAGTTGACCTGGTTTGCTGTATGCCGCTGGTATATTTATTCCTGACCGAAAATGTGAAGCACAATCTCGGTGATATATAGCTTTTTCAGCAGGGAGGTCATGTATAGCCAAAAGACGTGCCTGTACTGTCTTTGCCCAGTCGTCTTTCCTCTTCTCACATTGCGCTTCAATGTTCTTCTGAAAATCAAGCGTCATCACATGGCTCCATTGAAGTATATTTCTTTCAGGATATTTATGTCCGCCATGTTGATCAACAGACACACCACATAGAAAACAGTCAGTTTTAAAACTGAATGGTGTTCTCTGTGATCGAAGTGTTTTCTCAGTTGTGTCACTTGAATCACTACGTCGTTTCTGTTGACCCTTCAATGCTTTAGGGTTGATATGTTTCTTTCTACACTCCTTGTGTACAAAAAGGTAACAGTTCTCATCGTATATGATGTCTGGCACATATAGGTTGCGCAGTCTATTTGCATTATTAATGCCAATACAACCCTTTTCAGTTAATTTTGAATAATCGTTAGCGTTGTCCAGGTCAATAACCTCCAAGCACAGCACACAAGTATCCATTTCTTCATCAATCTAGAAAGTAAAAAGAACGGGTTAAAACACTGGGAGGTAAGATGGGATAGTAGTCCATCTTGCCCCACAGACCCCGTCTTACTCCACCGACGCGTTTTAAGGTTAACACTGTTCGTTATGAGTTTTATTAGTGCGTAGCTTATGTATTCAAACTAAGCACTAAAATCTATACTATTATAGTAAAATACTACAAGTACTTTAAAGTTAAATATGAGTCAGACTTACCTATAATCAGCTACATAGTGTGAATGACTCAAAGTAGGAGTATAGATACCGATTGATGAATGTATAGAAGGGAATCAAATATTACTCGCATTTAAAGAAAATGAAGGTAATTGATGGAATAAAAGAGAGTAAAGTCAGAAAGAATAATGAGAAATAGTTTTAAGGAAGAGAGATTAATGTTAAGAAGAAATTGAACATTTAACTGGACAGAATATATGTGAGAGAAAAAATGAACACACTTCTTAGTTACGAGAGAACAAGAAACTGATTTATTTACATTTTAAATGCAACATATGTTTAACAATAAAATAAATTAATAGGATTATAGCACATGTTGCTAGGAAAAGTATTGTAAGTAGACCAAAACAAAGAGCATATAGAGCAAAGAGCATAGAACAAAGAGCATTTTAAATAGAATGTTGAAAGTTTACTAAACATAGTGCAATAAGAAAGAAAGTTCAAAGATAATTAAAAGCACTCCCGATAACAATATTGGCACAAGCTAACTAAATCACTCAAAATTGCTGATCATTATACCAATTTCTACTACAACCTCTAGGTTTTAGTAGTTATTGCTTATACACAGGCGTCTTCTCCACCAGTATCAACTAGTTCTAGCGTTTGCTGTTTGATAACAGCACTAACTGAGATGTGAGAGCAGCTCAATCACCGAACGATGTCACATCATATTTAATTTGTTTGATTTTATGTCTCAATGGAGTGCGTTCTTGTGGTAGTTTTGTCATTATAAATTGAGTAAGTTTATAATTAATGAGTTTTTAAGATGTATTTTTGGTTTTGCCACCCTTGTAAACATTGAATTCGATATACTGCACACTATTATCTAGAAGTAAGTTTTATTTTAGTTTTTTCCCCATGAATCTATTTTGGCGGCCATTTTGTGGTGTCAAATGACGTCAAATCACATTTTAAGTTGCATATTTAGTTTCCCCACCCTTCAAAACATTAAAAACGATATACTACAACCTATATATAGCAATAATATTTTTATCTGTTTTTTTTTACGGAGCAATTATTATTTTAATTTAAATACCATAATTCGGGTACTTCCCCAAGTCAGATTTTGGTAGACTTTTTTTTGTGTTGTCTGGAGGTATAAAACTAATGAAATCCGTTGAAAAACCTTTTGAATCAATTTTGTTGAACCTCCACTACTCAATGACTGGACTATCACCCTCGCTTTAAGTTTTGACAAAATTTTATGATTAAACTGTCAAATTGCTGGAAATTTTACCAAGATTTCCAGAATATCGGTTACCGGTATGCTAATTTGAAGAATGTTTTTTGCTAACCTAGACGATATTTTAGTGATTGCACGTATTTCCTTTGGGTGGATAGGATTTGCCCCATTTTGCTTACTAATTTACATGTATTTCTTATGAAAGGAGTATTTTAATAAGATATTGATTAAATAAGTAATAACTCGTAATCTGTTTAACCAAAATAAACACATTATGTCCTGGGCCCGATTTCCAGTAATTTGACACTTAGTCCTTGTAGCAGCAAACCTAGGTACTCGTTAAACCTAATGTTATTTAGATAGATTTAGATCAATTCAGACAAATGGAAATTCGCTTAGTCGGCAGGTTTGCTGCAGCGGGGGTATTTTAATTTATAATTGTTATTATGGACAACATAATGTGGCTATAAGTGGAAAATATTTGTAGAAAACACTAAAAAACAAGATCAGCTTTTGAAAAATAATACAAGATATTACAAGAAATTTTGATTAGCCTATATCGATCTGTTAAGTACATCGTGAGTATTTTCATAATCTTTGAGTCGAGTCTATTAAGTCATCGGAAATTATTACTGTTAATCGTTTTAAAATAACGCCTGTAATACTTTGCAATCGCTCGACTTCGAGCAACAGGTACAAATAGGATTTTTTACAGTTATGTTTATGTTTTTAATTTAATAAATAATTTGTAAAATTGGCAGTGGAAGAACATTATGGCTACGGTAGATGTGTTATACTATAAAAGAATCAAATTTTGTCAAACCGCGTCCTTCCCCATTGCAAACACAGAGTACGAGTATAACTGCAATAATGCCCCCAGTACACTCTCGCCGAGGTAAGGCGAGCGTTGGCGAGTGCGAGAGTGTACTCGATGCGCTCTTCTTCTCTCGCCTTGACTCGGGTCGCCTCGCCTCGCCTCGCCTCGTGCTCGCCGGCGCTCCATCTGGAATCGGTTTTTTGACACGAGTCAAAGGACCCGAGACTGAGCGAGTGGCGAGCGCGAGGCGCCCCAGTTCACCCTCGCCTTGTCTCGTGGTTAGTTCAGCTATGCGTGGTTAGTTTGTGCGTGCATTTTGCGTTAAAAGTAAACATGTATTGGTCAAATGTCACAGCTCTTGACTTTTTAGAAGCCTAACATGGTGAGTCGTTATTGTGGGACCCATAACACGTACACCACAAGGACAAACGTAAACTAATAGATGCTTGGTTCCGTTTGGGCGTAAAACTTAACCGTCCAGTAACCGAATGGAAGAAAAAGAAAGAATCAATAATGGGTGCTTTTAGGGGTATGCCTTCATTTACCATCTCCTTCTGGTCCATGGCTTGCTGACTTTTCTTGTGATACGCGTAAACATAATTAAAATAAGCATATGCACAAAACAAGGTTAATGTTGCTACTTCCACATCGAAGTTTGCCTCCATTTCGACTGCGAGACAAAGCGAGAGTGTACACGGTTACCTCGCATAAGCTCTCGCCCGAATTACTCAGCGAGCGCCTCGGCGAGGTGCCTTGGCGAACGTCTCGGCGAGAGTGTACTGGGGGCATAAGGATTTTATACTTATACGCAAACCCCGAACAAAGGACGGGTACTCTGCTAGTATTAAATATTTCAGAGTCATTATATCAATGATATAAGTTATGCTTGCCTTGGTTTGGTATTTAGATGACTGTTCATGCATGGCTGATCAACTCTTAAATCCTAAAATAAAATCTCCGTTTAAAACACATTTCAATGTGTTCGTTTGCACGGTAACGGTAATGGGAACGGTAACGGGACACGGCGTGATCGGGCAGGCGGTTATGTCTAGGTTGTTATAGTATTACCCTTCGTTTTTAACCCTAAATGTTAGTTTTTATGTTCGTGTACATGTGCGTGTTAAATGTATTTATTTATTATCAATTGATGACCTTCAAATGAAGCAAGAAAAGACATCTGTACTGGCCCGACCATGACTCCTTTGTGAGCCGAAACCGGTTGCAATTTAGCAACTTGTTGATCACATAAATGCAGGTATTTACACCAATTATTTAGTATTTAAATGTGATCAATATAATGAATTCAATATGTAGAATTCAATATAATGAAGCAAGAGTATTGTACTTTATACTTTATACTTTTCTTTAAAATGGCGACCGTACAAAGTAGGTATTTTAAGCCAAGTATGAATGGAGATGAGTGTATGATGAGTGGCGCGATCTTGTAGTCTTGTTAGTGACTAAGGCCGACATATTCCTTAGACACAGCTGTTAATTAATAGCCCATACAGCTAATGGCGACTAAGGGACCTACAGTTTTATAGTGGAATCCGAACCACTTTTTTTCCTTGGTATATACGAATTGGTCTAATGATCAGGATGGTACTGCGGATAGTCGTAGTACTCACCCGTGCAGACGTTAATCCACACCAGGGAGTATTGCATCCACAGTGCATGCCTATAAATATCCACAATTCGTGACCTCCTAGTAGCTGGATTACAGGACGACGCCACCCATCCCAGTCACAACAATAAAACGTAAAATAGATTTGTTTATAAATATGTTTATTTCATAAATAGTACAAAGATAATAAACCTAATAAGTAAATGCCACACTTGAAATTAATTATAGTATTCTGATTTCCATGCTACTACAAATTGAACAATCAATATAAATTTTGTATTAGTAGAATTAGCAATCACGAACACATATTACAATCAACTTTATTTAACTGTGGCTTTAACCCACAACTCTTCTGGCTGAGGTATGACTGTGAAGCCATTTTGTAAAGTTGCTGGGACCTGAAACAGATTTTTTATGTTAACAAATTATTTAACAATGTAAATCTGTTTTTTATCAAAGCAATACAAATACTATATGATATACTTGGAGTTTTGGAAGTAGACATCTCACCCTGTTTTAAACATAATCCTGTTTCATTATGTGTTCCAATTATGGTTAAACGCATTCAAACGCACAAAAGCAGCCTAAGGTCTTTTTCTTATTTTACAGCAAATTCCGCAATGTGCACTTTGGTTTAAAGGCTGATGACTTGGATTGGTTATTATATTAGTTCCATTTAGCAAGTTTCTCATATGGAAATTTACTTTTTTGTTTTGAGCTTCCCAGAGGCCAAAAACACCCACTAGCGGCTAGTCCCTGCCCACCAAATCTGTTCGGGAGCGTAACTTCTACCCCCCTCTCCAGCCCAGCTGTTATTTTTACGAGTGAAAATTTAAAAACGTACGTTTTCAGGAAACACACTATGCAAATTTTTTTCCCCTTTTTCAAAACTTTTATTATTTTTTTGATTTCATTAACATTTGAAGTTTCATAAAATGTCCATGGTAACGCAATATCTGTGGTAGTTTTTTTTTTAAAGAGCATCTTTAGTGGAAAAACACAAAATCCTGTCACGACCATAACAGACGTTTAAATGAATATTAAAAATAGTTAATATTATTTTTATAACTATGTTTTGCTATAAACTAATTTACTTTTATGACCATTATACATTAAAAAGGTCACTGAGCTTTTAGTATATTTGGTCTTTCTAGAAAAAAATAAAAAACTCAAAAAAATTGAAAAAAAGCCAATAATATCTTTTTAAGTTTGTATAACTCCGAAAAAACTTACCTGAGACCCGAAAAATCGTTATGTTTGCATAGAGGCGTGCTTCTTTTGTGTATAAAACATTGAAATATGACGATATTTTAATTTTTGAAATTTTTATGACAGAAATCATAAACGTGATGGTCAGGGACAAGCGGTACGGTCGTGAATTTTATAAAAAAATCTAAATCTTTCTAAACAATCCTTTAATTATACTGTTAGTTATAATAAAAATATGTGTTTCAATTGAACTAAACTGTTCAAATTACAATTATATTAAAGTTATTGTCACGACCAAACACACTATAATCCATAAGGCTGGATAGGTCGTGAAAAAACCCGCGATGGTCGTGAAACTTTGGTCGTGAAATTACGTGTTATTTGGCTCTGTTCTGGCGGTAGCTCTGCACCTCATGTTCGAGGATACAAAGTGGACTTCTAGGTTAATCTAGCAATTGAAATATCTTATAAACAAAAATTAACACCATGTCTACTTCATCGAATGAATATGTACGGTCATGGACACACCAAAATTACAAAAAACACAACCTTTCCTGTATTAATCTTGTAATTTCTCCTTTCAACTCGAAACGACCGGCACTACAATCCTGACGTACACCCCGAACTAGTCTCTAAAACCAACTGACTCCATCAACGCCAGGCTTGCCACTGTCGTGCTCCAAAGTTGAAAAATTTTCCCAAATGGTCGTGACGCCAAATCGAGGGACAGACTTATTATGTCATGGTAGTCAGTTTGCAATGACAATAAAATTATAATATGCTCCTTTTTTGTAAGTTTAATAACCATTGATGACATAAAAATATGGCTTTATATATTTCGGCATGAATAATTAGTCTAAAAACAGCGTGAAAGTTGGAAAATGTACCCTAGGGACACGTCATGGTCGTGAATTTCGAGACTTTAAAAATACGAAAAAAATACCTAGAACCTATTTAAAACCAAATAAATGTGTGTAACATGTTGCCCCCATCCCAAAAAATATTAAAACACATAATAATAAACTACAAATCCAGTAGCTACGAAGTAAAAGGCCAGGGACATGAAAACGTACGTTTTTAAATTTTCACTCTTACGCTTCTGATTGGCTGAGGGACACCATTACCGCAACGATACGCCATGATACCATCGGCCTCGGTGGTATAGTGGATAGAGTGCCGGTCTAATGAACTGAAAGAGCCGGGTTCGAATCTCACCTGTGGCACTATTTTTGTCTCGGATTTTTTCATTATCAGCAAGTTTGGTTAGGTTATGACAGTTTAATTTTATAATTTAAAAAATATAAAATTGAATTTGAACCATTTATAGTTTTATTTTATGAACCATTTTTATGAACTATTTTTTCGATTAAACCTTCATTCAATTTTTCATTATCGACAAGTCTGGTTAGTTTGGTTAGGTTATGACAGTTTAATTTTATGATTAAAAAATTGAATTTGAGGCATTTATAATTTTATTTTATGAACAAAACTATTTTTTCGATTAATAAACCTTTATTGGATTTTTTCATTGTCAGTATTGTTGGTTTGGTTAGGTTATGACAGTTTAATTTCATAATAAAAAATTATAAAATTGAATTTGAGGCAATTATAATTTTATTTCATGAACAAAACTAATTTTTCTATTATTTGTAAACCTTCATTATAGTCATCAGAAGCCTCCAAATGACACTGTTGGTAAAACTAATCCTGGAATAAAAATTCAGCTGGAGGGAGGGTAGAAGTTTCGCTCCCAAACAGATTTGGTGGGCAGGGACTAGCCGCTCCGCTAGTAAAACACCCACCATTCAAAAACATGTGTGTGTGTATATATATATATATATATATATATATATATATATCTTACTAATATTATAAATGTGAAAGTTTGTGTGTTTATTTGTTTGTTTGAAGTTCAATCACGCATTAACTACTGGACGGATTGGGCTGAAATTTGGCATGATGATAGCTCATATTCCCGATTAACATATAGGCATATTCTTATCTCAAAAGTCCTTTCGGCCTCCGCCCCAGTGGCTCTGTAGTTCCCCATGTTAACCTTATGAGTATTCATATTTAAAGGGAATTAAATAATTTAGTCAGCTGTTTCAACTAAAAAAGTTGGTTCTATGATATGCAAAAGTAAAATATTAAAAAGTTATACGATTTACCAACAGGGTGCAGCACTATTATTTTTTGCATTTATGAAAACAGCTAATTTGAACCAAGCAGCAACAAAAAACTGTGATAGGCAATGAGAACTGTCAATGTAGGATTGTTTACAGTTATGTTTATGTTTTTAATTTCATGAATAATTTGTGATATTTTGCGAATTTTTAATAATTTATTTTTCTCTTTTGTTTTAGGTGAAGTGGTAGAACATTATGGCTATGGTAGATGTGTAATACTATTGTATACTGTAAATTCAAAGAAGCAAATTTTATCAATCTGTGTCCTCTCTCATTGCAAACACTAAGTTAGAGTATAACTGCAATAAGCATTTTACACTTATTGCCATTTTACTTAGGTCATACATTACGAAAACAACACATTTCTCTGTTATTATTTATCCAATCTTAACAAATAAGGTATAATTGAAAACTACATAAAATTTACAAACTTTTTGTCTCTAGCAACTTTTTTGTAAAGTTAACAGTTTTCGTGAAATTTGGGATCAAATATTTTAATTGGCCGCCATTTTGAAACGGTTAATGATTTTACTAGTATAATTTCTAACGATAATAGGTCTTAATAAGATTAACATTTTTGCAAAATATCAAAGCTTGTATCTCAAACCGTTTAGGAGTTATTTGTTTTTTTGTAAAAAACACATAAATACCGACCGTTGGTGAACTAGACACCAGAGACCCATGTTCCTATGGTGAAATGTGTTTGTCTTGACCTAAGGTATAACCATAGATAAAACATGTATAACGCTATATAAAAATGTCCAGAGAGTTACGGGACACCCTGTATATTGCAAAGGGGCGCTACTATTATTTGTGCCTAGGGCGCTGACAGGGTCAAAAACGGGCCTGCTGCTATCCACCAATCCTTTAGAGCTTATTTAAAATTGTACTTAATCCAATGAGAGTATGGAAAATTAACGCCAATGGGTTAACTCCCATCACTACGGCTAATCCACCGTTTCAACAAGAACTTCTCAACTCTGTCTACCTATCTCGACTATCAAGTACATGTAAAAAAAGGTTTACATTATCTTGCTCCTGTATAGCATGCGTTAGAAGATGTAAGCCAAAAACTGAAAAATGTATCCAGGTATAGATCGTATATAATGGGAGGTTGGGATGAATCCTAAAATTTTCGGAACCTCAGACAACAATATTGGACTTAAAATTACATAGGGGGTCTTACTCTCTTCACACCTTATTGGATACACCTCCGGATGATCACCATGGAATACACAACCAATAACTAATGATTCATAATCCATTTAAAGGACAGGATCTACATTGTTATCAATTTTAGTAAAATTTCCCAACTTTAACTTTAATTTTTTTTTCAATAAAATGGCGACCATACGAAGTAGGTAGCAATCAATTGTCATTATTGATTGGTAAAAAAAACATATCACGCAGAATTTTGTGTTTTCCAAACTAACTACAGGTGCATTTTTGTATAGCAAGCGTCGATTAGTTGTAAGCCGAAAACTGGTCAAATAATCAACTTTTTGGCCATGTTGATGAAAATGACCCAACTTTAAAAAGCTACAGCGGCTAAACGGCTCGGCCGATTTTGACGTATTTAACACCAATCGACGCATCACTTAATGCACTAAAAGAGACCTTCGAACAACATTTTCCGTAGGATTCGTTATTTAGGAGTCATAAGCGAAAAACTGAAAAAAAGAGCAAAATTTTCATAGTTTTTCGACTCCCAAAACTTAAGCAGACGTCAAAATCCGTCGCAAACTCACAGGACTCTTATTTGGGACCCCCAAAAGGTATTAAAACACTTTCCAGCTGTAGAAGATTTTTTGGGGAGCATATGTCTAATTTGCCTGGGCTAAAAATATAGTCCCCATACAACAATTAAAGAGTACCCACATCATCAAAATCAGAACACAAAAAGGTGTCGTCTGTAGCTCTGTACACATCCACACATACAGACAGACAGACACACACACACACAGACTGGCATAATTTATGAAACTACTTTTATGGGTTCAGGGGACCCAAAACGGATATATTATCCACCCAAAACTAAAACTCAAAAATGTTTACGAAAACAATACTTTCCCATTGACCATTACTACATATAGGAGGAGTGTTTTATGTGTAGTTTCTGATAACTTATCCTTTCAGTTTGGGTTGGTTAAAAAATTGTCGTATTCTACATAATTTTTAATACATGACATCTTCTCAACAACAACTTCTCTCTGGAGAAAAATCTTCTTGTGAAAGTGGAGTCTATAAAAAAAACTGTAGTATTCTTGTACATTTTTAAGCAATTTTGTGTAATATTCAAATTACCAAATTTGCTGTTAGACAGTCTGCTGCGTTAGGGAAACCAGATTAACCTCAATTCTTGCGAATGTTCGTTCCGACCCTATAAAGATGTCATCTAGATTGCCTGTGTTCTTGACAATTACAGTTTATTGTTGATTGTTGAATACTAACTAATTTGTTGAATAGGCGGTTTGGGAGCTCGAGCCCAGCTAGTACGTGCCTAGTGTTAGACGTGCCTAACTTTAGTCCCCGGACCAAAAACCAGGCTTGGGAGCTCGCGCCTAAGTTGAAATGGTCGTATAGATCAAGTATAGTCGCGACTAAGTTGCAGTGCGGCTAGATGGACAGGGAATCGCCGGAAATTCAGGTTTTGACGATGGCAACGGCCACTGCAGAACACGTTACCGTTGACAACAACAAAAGATGAACAATTGAAGATGGATACAATTTTATCTTGGTATATCAATGGTGGCTAATTAGTAGACTATGGTGTAAGTTTCTGCATTGTACCATTGCAAAAATGTAGTTTTGTAAGATCGTTGTTTTACATCTCAATGACTGAAGAACCGTAATTCTTTATATTAAATTATTTTAAGATCTAACTTTATTTTCACTTTACGATTTAATTATTTAATCAGTTGTCTTTAAGTACTATACCTTATAAATACGTACAGAGTGTGCACACGGTGGGGCACACGGGAGGGACGATGGCTAACAGTGTCAGCGTTCGCCGCTAGAACCGAGAACCGCTAAGTTGAATAATTTAAATTAAGTTCATTTTATATTTTTTAGTTAAAAAATTAACTTTTTAACTATAAAATTAAACTGTCATAACCTAACCTAACCAACCAAACTTGCTGACGATATAAAAAAGATAAAAGGTAAAAATCAAATAAAGCAAAATGTTTGACAAAAAGTTAGTGTCCCCGACGGATTTTGAACTCGAGACCTCCTGAACACTAGTCCGATGCGCTATCAACTAAGATACGAACGCCGCTGGAATCACAACGTCTCGTTACGGTAATTGTGTTGCCTCAAGAGAAGACATTAGCCACTATAGATATGACGTCACCACACCTTTAGCCATCGTCCCTCCCGTATGCCCATTCCATCATTTAACAAAGATTACCATGTATATGGAACTTGTTAAACCTAAATCTATTTAAATACATTTTATTGAAAGTCCTATTTATTTATTGGAAATTCGCTTAGTCTGCAGGTTTTCTGTGGCGGGGTTATTGATACACTGTATATATTTTCTTATACTCCAAATAATCTAGGTACTCCATTTTGATGTAACTAGCACTTGATCAATGCCACTGAACTGAGCTCAATCACAACGCAATTAAAAGAAAACGATTATGACTGTGAGCTATTTGCAGTTTTTTTATGTTTTGTTTACTATCTCTTCACTCTTTCGTAGGGGGTGAGTGGGGGTATGTATGTGGTTGCTAATTTTTTTCTAGCTAATAAAATATTTATAATTAAGGTACGGGTGCTTATAACCAAATTCTCAGTTGAAAGAACATTAAACATTAAATATTTCTTGTTGGTAGATCCTGTATTCAACTAAATTTTTCACAGTATTAGCCTATGTATTAGAAACTGCTAAGTTTTGTATATCAAAATCAAATGTTTTAAAATAATAATAAGGAGAGCGTTGCCCGGCTATGGGGATTGTGGAGGTCAATTATTAAACAAGTTTTAGTTTATTTTTATAAAATTCCTAAAAAGTTGTGTTCGGTGCAAGTCGAGAGTCAGGTAAAATTTTGACCTTTGGTAAGGGAATGTCAGGGAAATCAATTCCTAAAATAGTGTGAACCCTGTATAAGGGAAATCCATTGTTAGCAAACATTAGCATATTATACATTGATAATGTTATTGAGAATGATATTGGTAATAAATTATCAACTTTATGTTCAGTTCCTTCAGGCCCCTCTTTGTGATGTTACCTTTGCTCCCTCAACACTGGACATTTGAAAGGCAGACACCAGCACTGCTACAGCTAGTTTGGTCAACAACACTCCCATACGGATGCCGATGTTGGACGAGTTGGTGCCTGCCTGGCCAAACGGCAGGTAGATACTGTGGTCTCTCTTGGAAGCGTTCTCAGGAGAAAATCTGAAACATAAATTAAATTTGTGCCTAACTTAAAGGTTTGGAAGTACCGAAGGATAGTGACTTTTTTGTTTTTCTGATGTAGCTTTGTTACAAGTTAACCTTGTTGATCTCCTTTAGAACAAATCAGATCTTGCTATTTTGAACCATGCAAAAACTGCAGATTTGTCAGGATTAAAAGATATTATTTTGTATCCCTGCTCATTAAAGAATTATTCTGCAAGTAAAATCTTCAGGAACAAGAAACAGACTTTCGAACCAGACACGTCCTGGCTCAAGTTTCAACATACCAGCCAAATCCACACTTCACCAAATGAGAAAGTAAGCATCTTACATTATAGCTCAAAGATAAAAAAAATCTTTTTCAAAATATGTTATCCAGTACTCATAAAGTTATTTTGCATTCCTGGTGGTGACACTAATGTCATTTTAATAAAATGTGTTATAGTAAATAAAGATAAATTTGTTTTATTTATAAGGAAGTGGTCCAAACACTGGTTTTAAAAGATGATGAAAATTATAATGACATTATTTGATGATTCAACTCTACAAAGTTTACAAGTAAGAAAACTAACCTTTCAGGCTGAAAGGTTTCAGGGTCAGGGTAGTATTCCTCGAGTCGATGAATTGCATAGATTGGCACAGAGACCAATGTTCCCTGCTCCACCTTGGCCTCTCCTAGGGTTGTGTTCTCCACACATTCTCGCTCCAGTCTGTACTCAAGAGGATAAAGCCGCAGAATCTCTCCAAGGAACATATCTAGGTACTCACACTCCTGCACTAGCTCATAGGTACTGGCGCTCTACAAAACAAAGGGTTCTCAAAATATAATTTGTCAATTTCAAAATGACTTTAGTCTTTAGAAAGTAATAAAAATCATAGAAATCTTTATTCATAGAAATCTTATGATATTAACTACTGTTACCAAATTTACCGTTATAGTTACCTTTAGAGCAACAAAAAACTTTATACAATCCAAAATTGTATAAAAACGTCATTTTTTAGTTCACTCTCTTAGTTTTCTTTCAGTTTTAAAAAGTACTGATGAATTGGTTTCAGCTGAAAAAATATCTGTGTATTTATGGATACGCTAGCCAAAATGTTTGTCAAATATATATGAAATTCTTTAAAAAGTTAAAAAATATATTTTAGCCAAACAAATTCCTTAAATTACTATGTAACACCATAGACAACAAAAAATAAATATAGACCGTCAGCTGTGCTGCGGTTACCATAGGTTCTAGCGCACACCGCGGGAAGCACCATGTAGTTACGGCCTACGCGCTACGTAACTACACGGCGCTCCCAGCGGTGTGCGCCAGAACCTATGGTAAACATGGTAACCACTGCACGGCTGACATTCTATATTTAATTATTCTTGTCTATTTTTAACACTTATTTTTGATATTCCAGTTAGCAAGTCACAAAAACTTCTCATAATTGCTTATCAATGTTTTACCATCGAATACAGTCCCAACTTAAGTGTTGCACATAAAGTACACTCTTTACAAAAAAGTTAAATACTAAACCAGTTACATGTTTCTGAAGCAGGTTTTCCACTTCATTCCGCAGCCTGTCTTGTATAGAAGGCAGAGAGCCGAGAGTGTAGAGGGAGAGGGCGAGAGAAGACCTAGACAGCTGTGCGACAGTCAGCACAACACTCACACACTGAACAACACAAAGAAGGTTAATGCAATCCAAATTTAATAAAAAAAAAAAACAAATATTCAACTTTACAATTTGGCGCTGCTCCAAAATGCTGCTCAAATTGCTTCCTTTCATGTCCACCCAACCTTCACATCCAAGGGGGGAAGGGACTAGGTTAGAACCTAGCCCTAGCCCCAGAACCGTTTTATACATTACTTCAAGACCTAAAGGGTACACCATTTAGACAAAATTCATTGATGATTGGCAGGATATTTCAACCCAGGACCTCAGGGACCAAGTCTCGTGTTTGCTCTACCATATTATTAGATCAATTGGCTTCCCCGAAAACCTTCAGTGGTAATGAAATGAATGAAAATCATTTTTCATACCACTGCATGCAAATTATCACATTGCCACACCTTCTTACAGACCCATAAGCTTGCTTCCTATAGTATCAAAGTTGTTTGAAAAGGTAATACTTAAAAGGTTAACCCCCACTGTTGATGAATTAAACTTAATACCAGATCATCAGTTCGGCTTCCGCAAACAACATTCCACCATTCAACAAACTCACCGATTAGTGGATATTATAAAAAACACATTTGAGAAAAAACAGTACTGTTCTGCTGCATTTTTTGATGTCCAACAGGCGTTTGACAAGGTGTGGCATGTCGGACTTATGTTTAAACTCAAAACCTCTCTCCCTCACTCTTTTTATAACCTTCTAAAATCTCATATCTGATCAATCGATCTTTTCAAATAAAATTTGATAATTCGTTATCTGATCTGAAGCCGATACAGTCTGGAGTACCTCAGAGGAGTGTTCTTGGTCCCTTCCTATATTTGATATATACAGCAGACATCCCTATGGTCCCCAACGTCACAGTTGCTACGTTTGCTGATGACACTGCACTGTTGTCGAGTCATGTGGACCCTCAAGTCGCTTACATTAATCTACAAGCTGCCTTGACTGAGCTCCAATATTGGCTTAAAAAGTGGAGGATAAAAGTCAACGAAAACAAGTCCAAACATATTGTTTTTACTCTGAGAACAGGGCACAATCCTCCAGTAACCATTAATAATGTAGCCTTAACGGAGGCAGACAGTGTACAATATTTAGGTCTAACTCTTGACAAAAAATTAAATTGGAAATCTCATATCTGGTGCAAGAGACAGCAAATGGAATTAAAACTTCCTAAACTCAATTGGCTACTAGGTATCATTGGCTAACAAAATTTTACTGTATAAAGTTATGATCAAACCAATTTGGACATACGGAATTCAACTTTGGGGGACCTCGAGCAAATCCAACATCGAAATTCTTGAACGATTTCAGGCTAAGGCACTGAGAAGAATTATTGGCGCACCCTGGTTCGTATCCAACACTACAATTAGGAATGACTTCAAATTAAATCAGTGAAAGAAAAAATTACAGACATTAGCAAAAATGATCAAGAAAAATTAGAATATCAACCGAACAGTCTGTTAATCTGCTGGACAATAGTCAGTGCATTACCAGATTAAAAAGTGTTGTGCATGTGCTGGACCTAAGCTACAGATTTCTGTAAATATTTAAATGATTGATCCAATTTTTGGCAAGACTTGTTGATGAACAGGTGCTTGCTTCCTGACATTGTTTTGATATATGTTTTACTTATTGTTCTCAAATTTGAACAGATTGTAAAATAAGTTCTGAAAAAAAAAATTGCCACACCTGTAAATAATACGCAAAACAGCTCATCTCCACTTTATTCATTCTCTTTGCTAGATCAGCTGATTTCACTGATGGTGTTTTTATAAATCACTAACATTTGGTGATGCATCTAGGAAAAAAAGCTAATATAATTTAAAATGATATTTTATATACAAGTAAAAAAAATATTTGTGTGTAATGATAAGTTAATTATTGTCTTGAACGATAAATAAATTTTCTTAAATATATGCATATAAATAAATAAATATATAGTACTACTTCTAAGTACTATAAAGAAGTCCTCCCTCTATCCAAAATTATATAATTAGTTTTTATATTTAGAAATCTCTGTAACTAGGTCGCGTTCGCAGATGCATCCACAAAATTGAGCGGAGTCATCCAGGGTTCATATTATACTGTTTTTGTCATACTGCAGTAAAATCGGTCGTTTTTAATGCATGCGTTGCGGGTCTAAAGTAGCATTTTTACTCTTTAGGGAATAAAATTTGTTTTTAGCCTCTATGGAGTAAAACTCAGCTGTTGTCAACTCAGTTGTGAATTTCTATTGTAAACGATTGAATACGTATAGAAATATGTAACGGTTCGTGCTTCATAATCATTTTAACCAGTCTCATCCCATAGCATTTTAGCATTGCAGATACATTAATCCATTCCCACACTCAACACTGCCCACCTTTACTACTTCCTTCATCACCCCCTACGTCATGGACCTGTTTCCCTCTCTTCCCATAGCATTTTAGGATTGCAGATACATTAATGTAATTGCCAAAGACAGTTCCCACACTCTGCAATGCAAGCCTTACTACTTCCTTCACCATTTCCTACGTCATAGACCTGTTTCCTGCCCTTCTCATAGCATTTAAGTATTAGATACATTTATCTAACTGCCCAAACGGTTCCCTCATTCTGCACTGCCAGCCTTTACTACTTCCTTCACCACTTCCTACGTCGTGGGGTCTGTTTCCTTCCCTTCTCATAGCATTTTAGGATTGAAGATACATTAATCTAACTGCCACAGACGGTTCTCACAATATGTTCATACTTAATTACTTCCTAAGCCACTTCCTACATCGTGGACCTGTTTTCATCATTTTCCATAGCATTTTAGGATTGCAGATACCTTAATCTAATCGTCATAAACAGTTCCCACACTCCGAAAAACTCGCCTTTACTGCTTCCTTCATCACTTCCTACGTCACGGACCTGTTTACCTCCCTTCCCTTAGCATTATTGGATTGCAAATACCTTAATCTATTTGTTGTAAACAGATCCCACACTCCGGAACACTCGCCTTGACTATTTCCTTCACCACTTACTACGTCGTAGACCTGTTTTCCTCCCTTCCCATAGCATTTTAGGATTGCAAATACCTTAATCTAATGGTCATAAACAGATCCCATACCCTGAACATCTTGCCTTTACTACTTCCTTCACCACTTCCTACTTCGCGGACCTGTTTCCTTCCATTCCAATAGCATTTTAGGATTGCAGATACCTTAATCTAAATGTCATAAACTGTTCCCACACTCCGGACAGCTCGTCTTGACTACTTCCTTCACCACTTCCTACGTCGCAGACCATTTTTCCTCCCTTCCCATAGAACTTTAGGAATGCAGATACCTAAATCTAATCGTCATAAACAGTTTCCACACTCCGGACAGCTCACCTTGACTACTTCCTTCACCACTTCCTACGTCTCGGACCCGTTTTCCTCTCTTCCCATAGAATTTTAGGAATGCAGATACCTTAATCTAATTGTCATAAACAGTTTCCACACTCCAGACTGCTCATCTTTACTACTTCCTTCACCACTTCCTACGTCACGGACCTCAAAGCTAGTGTCGTTATTTGATTATATTTATGATCCATACCACTGTTTATGTTCTAATATCTGTGGAATAATGCTATCAGCTATTTATTTATCTACTGCATTCAAAACAGCTGATCATATGTCTTTGTTTATGTGTCAAATACTGCTTCCATAAGGATTACATTGAAACTTTGAGACCCAGTGGGGCGGATTCCTGAGAGACTTTTTTAACGCCATATAGATGTTGGCACTCACCGGTACGGTCTTTATCACCATGCAAAATTTGAAAACGATTGATTCAGCCTTCTAGGAGGAGTTTGCGTATTACAAAATGCATAAAAGTCGACGTATAAGAGCTTCGCTCGCTCCGCTCAATAATTTACTACGATACAATATGAAGGGTCCAATATTGTAGGGTTTGAAGGGCTCAAAGGGTACAATACAATACAATATTTAGTTCATTATGAAGGGTTCTGGCTTATGATGGTCACAATATTGATCCACGAATTGTGGATATTTATAGGCATGCACTGTGGATGTGATACTCCCTCGTGTGGATTAACGTCTGCACTAGTGAGTACTATGACTATCCGCAGTAGAGTGAAAATTTTCAAATATACGTTTTCAGGAAAAGCACTTTAAAAATCTTTTGTTCCGTTTTTTTGAAACTTTTATTATTTTTTATTTCATTAACATTTGAAGTTTCATAAGATGTCCATGGTAACGCAATATCTTTGGTAATTTTATATTTATAGAGCATCTTTGATGAAAAAACACGAAATTTTGTCACGACCATCTTGGACATAAAACTGAATATTAAAAATAGTTAATATTATTTTTATAACTATGTTTTGCTATAAATTAATTTACTTTTTGGGCAATTATACATTAAACAGCTCACTAAGCTTTTGGTATATTTGGTCTTTCTAGAAAAAAATAAAAAACTCAAAAAATTGGAAAAAGCCAATAAAATCTTTTTAAGTTTGTATAACTCTGAAAAAACTTACCTGAGACCCGAAAAATCTTTATGTTTTTATAGAGGTGTGCTTCTTTTGTGTATAAAACATTGAAATATGATGATATTTTAATTTTTGAAATTTATATGATAGAAATCATAAACGTGATGGTCAGGGACAAGCGGTACGGTTGTGAATTGTCTGGAATAATCTAAATCTTTCCAAACAATCCTTCAATTATACTGTTATTTATAATAAAAATATGTGTTTCAATTGAACTAAAATGTTCAATTTACAATGATATTTAAGTTATTGTCACGACCAAACGAATAATTCATAAGGCTGGATTGGTCGTGAAAAAAACCCACGATGGTCGTGAATCTTTGGTTGTGAAATTACGTGTTATTTGGCTCTGTTCTGGCGGTAGCCCTGCACCTCATGTTCGAGGATACAAAGTGGACTTCTAGGTTAATCTAGCAATTGAAATATTTTATAAACAAAAATTAGCACCATGTCTACTTCATCAAACGACTATGTACGGTCATGGACTCACCAAAATTGCAAAAAACACAAACATGCCTTTATTAATCTTGTAATTCCTCCTTTCAACTCGAAACGACCGGCACTACAATCCTGACATACACCCGGATCTAGTCTCTAAAACCAATTGACTCCATCGACACCAGGCTTGCCACTGTCATGCTCCAAAGTTGCAAATTTTTCCCTAATGGTTGTGACGTCAAATCGAGGGACAGACCTATTTAGTCATTGTAGTCAGTTTACAATGAAAACAAAATTATCATATACCATATATCAAATACCTAGAACCTATTTAAAGCCAAATAATTGTATGTAACATATTGCCCCCGTCCCAAAAAATATTAAAACACTCAATCATAAACTACATATTCAGTATCTACGAAGTAAAAGGCCAGGGACATAAAAACGTACATTTCAAAATTTTCACTCAGTACTATCCTGATCATTTTAGACCAATTCGTTAATTACAAGGCAAAAATGTGATTTGGATTCCACTTTAAACTGTAGGTCCCTTTAGATGCCATTGGCTGTATGGTTATTGATTAACCGCAGTGTCTAAGGAACATGTCGGCCTAACAAGACTACAAGATCGCGCCACTCATTCTACACTCATCTCCATTCATACTTAGCCATTCATAAAATACCTACATTCGTATGGTTGCCATTTCAGAATAAATTATTAAAGAATCATTTTAAAAAAATAGTTTTTTTTTATTTATTAACTTTTGGGCAACATAATATTATTTCTAAAAAACATGCAGAGTCTTATATGTATAGTTTTCTGCTTTACCTGTGATACAATTTCCATATCTGTCAGAAGAAGTTCTACCTCCTTTTCATCTACACCTTTATTTTTGACAGCTTGTTTTTTTTCCTCCTCAGCAGCTGACAAAAGCAGGTCAAGGAAATCTACAGCTTTCCCCTGGGAATTGGGAAAACAGTCAACATAAGAGAAATTTCAGATTTTTTAATTTTTTTTATAGGGTAATTTCACCAAGGATATTTAATGCATTTAACAATATACATATAGAATATAAATGACTTCTTTATTTAGATACAGTATCATTGAAACATTTTTGTGACATTATTCTTATTAAAATATAATAACTCGATGCATATCAAGGTTTAAGTAAAATGGACGCGTTGCAGAAAGTCAACAGTCCCGGAAGGTCAAATAATTTATACCTGTGCCTCTAGGTCAAAAACTACAATGTTTGCAGTGTCTGTAGATCAAAAATCCCAGTAAGTCAAATAGTACAGTCCGGGCTAAAAACGTAGTCTATGTTAAAGCAATTGACTTATTGGGAATTTGACCTAATGCAACAGCAGTTTTAATAAAACGAAATAAGATAAAATATAAGTTCAGTTTCGCTGAGTCAACAGTGCCGGAAGGTCAAAAGTATAATCTGTTAAAAACAACGATAGTCCTCTCGACGCATGACTTCAATAATTTCGTGTTTTGGTGTACTTAAAGTTGTGCTAAGATTTTGAAAATTGGCACAGAGCTTCTTGGTTAGTCCTACTCAATGACTATTTTGTTGGAACTTTAAACTATTTACCGATCTAATTAATAAAAATTGATATGTATGGTGAAATAGTTTTAAATCGTGATTTCTAACATGAAAAAGTTAGCATGCGAGATTTTTGTTTGTTTTTGGGTTAGAGAGGTTTTGTCTGTGGCAAAGTTGTAGCCAAAAGTGTGATGCGTAAAATATATTTTTTTGAATTTTTTACAATCAGTGGTTCAATAGATAACTTGGGTTGAAGAGGACGGCAAATTTAGCATTTCGCAACGCATGGAAAGAACTACATCGTACGATGCGACTGCTGAGTGGACTTTTAATTTACAGTTCTAAGGACAAGAAAAAGATGAATATACAGATTACCAGTACATTCATATTATTTATAAAACATCTTTCTGTATTACCAGCTTACATTTTTCACTTATATTAATAAGAATACATCACAAACAAGGTGTTAAAAATAAGCGGAGAGACACTTTACCTAGTAATTCCTTGGGTCAAAATAAACAGAAAATGAACGATAACATTTTTTCCAAAATCGTTTCGCGTTTCGTTAACCAGATATCCGCCATTTTGTATTTTTTACATACAAATATTTATCTTTACACTTTTCCAACCGATGTTTATGAAACTTGGTATGTACGTTAAGGTAGGAGAGACCCATGTTATAAAAAAAGATTCATCTCGATTCACCCTAAAATTTCAAAATTTAACACTTAACTACAATATAATATTCTTTACTATACCACAATATTTACGTATCACCATAAATCTTTAATAAAATAAAACGTCCACTTTTTAAAATCCAAAGTAAATCAATTTAATCTTCCTTTTTTGAAAAATATAGTAAAAAAATTAAGCGATGTTAAAATAACGACAGGCGAGTTTCGATCTGGGTGTTTCAGGTTTGAACCTAGGAGGATTTAACATTAATTAACATTAATGTTTAATCCTCCTAGGTTTGAAGTGATTGAGAGGAATACATGAAACCGAAGGGGGGAGGTAGCAACAAGTGCACTGGTACTTACTAGTGTCCAATTACAATTTCAATTGTAATTGGGATATCGGATACGGTAAGAATTAGAGAAAACTTTAAATGGGGGACATTCCTTTATTTCTTGTGGCAGTTAAAAATATGATTTTAGTTTTTTGAAATTCAGCCGCCATTTTCCAAAATGGCGGCCAAATTTGAAATTTATTATGGAACACCCTATATTTTATCATGTTTTCGGATAGAATATGCAATTTAAAAACTTTTTTATAATTGACATTTTTTCGATAAACCGACTCGTTTAGGAGTTATAGCCTATGGAAAAATGACTTCCGGTGTACATTTTACATCATGTAGCTCCTAAACAAGTAAGTTTATAGCAAAAATGGGAAGAGTAAAAAAGTCTTACAATTGCATCCACATTCCAAAAAGACCATAAAATTCATTAAAAATATGAATTATATTATTTTAAAAAATGGCGGCAAACTTGAAAAGTGGAAAACTTTTTATTTTATAGTCTTAAAGGAATGTAGATGCAATTCTAAGACTGATTTACTTTTTGCAATTTTGCTCTAAACTTACTCGTTTAGGAGCTACATGATGTAAAATGTAAACCGGAAGTCATTTTTCCATAGGCTGTAATCCTAAACGAGTGGGTTTATCAAAAAAATGTCAAAGCTAACAAAGTTTTTAAATTGCATATTCTATCCGAAAACATGATAAAAAACTAAAATCATATTTTAACTGCCACAAAAATTAAAGGTATGTGCCCCATTTAAAGTTTTCTCTAATTCTTACCGTTTCCGATTTCCCAATGGTGGACTCCTTGAGTTGATCACCCTGTATATATGAATTTGAACGGATGGTGTTTTTGGCCTCTAGGGACCTCAAAACGAAAAATTAAATCGGTCCCGCGGGTCCAGGTGTTACCATAAGTACTACGGTAATACCCCCGCCGCAGCAAACCTGCAGACTAAGCGAATTTCCATTTGCCTGATTGGATTTACACTAAAATGTCTCCTTAAAAATATCACATTTATTCCCTATTTAAATAGAATCAGTTTAACATATACTTAGGTTTGCTGCAACAGGGAGGGTAAAAGTGTTTTTTATGTAAAATGTTAATAGTTAGTAAGAAATAAAAACATTTTCTAAATTTGGGCAAAAAATGTTAATAAACAAGCAAACTACAACAGTTTACTTATTCTCCATAAGAATAACATGGGAATTTTAAATTTACAATTTTTTGAAATTTTCTCCGTAACCATTAGGTGCATTATAACGCTTTATATACTAAATTATTTGTTTTTTTAAGCTCTACAAAATAGTTTGGAAAGAAATTGCAAAATTTTATGTTTTTTGAGTCAAAAGTAGGAAAAACCCATTTTTACCCCATAAAACCCCCCAAAAACCCCCGTTCCCATGGTCCGATCATGCTGGTTCGCGAACTCGTTCGAATAAACGTAGGCTAACTTTGTGATGTTGTTGTTGTGGATCGTAGGAATGTTTTAAAAACGTTTAAAAGAAAAGTCCAGGAAGTTCAGAAATACCGAAACTATAAACACGAAATGACAGGTTAAATCGTAGTTATAATAGTCAATCAGCTGCTCATAGTATTATTATCTTTAAGTGTTGCCAACCTATTTCCGAGCGTACACGGATTACGTGCATAATAGAAAATGCTTTATTATTGTAACTATATTGTATTGTATTTTTACGTTTGTACCAAATTTCATCAAAATCGGATCGTTTTTGCTCGAGTTATCGCGCTAACGGACACATATATAAATATATATATATATATATATATATATATATGAATTTGAACGGATGGTGTTTTTGGCCTCTAGGGACCTCAAAACGAAAAAAAAATCGGTCCCGGGTCCAGGTCTTACCATGAGTACTACGGTAATAGCTTATTCCCTATATGGGAAATTCGCTAATAGCTTATTCCCTATATGGGATATTCGCCAAAAACGTAATAGTTATATAGAACAATATTACATTCAACCAGCTGTTAGTTAAAACAAATTATATGGGACTAAAACAAATCAAGATTCCTTTAAAAATAATTTGAACATAATGAACATCCTACAATTTTACTATGCATATTTAATTAATCTGCCATCCTCATACCTAAGAATTGAATGTATCAATGGTCAGCATTACACATAGTATAAATATGTCAACTCTAAATATGTCTTTAAATTTGTTTCCAAATGCTGAATGTTTACAGCTGTTATGTTAAGCAAATTATATTGTACTAAAAGCTAGCTTAGAAGGTAAGCGTCGGCTGCTAGACTTTTTAAAAATTAAAACTTAATTTCTAAAAAACTGGGACCCTTAATTATAATTATGGCTTTGACATTCCCTAGTTCTCAAAATTATCTTTCTTTCAACATAAAAATTATGAAAATCCGTCGACTGGTTGATTCAGAATGTGAAAAAACCTCATTTACGTTTTAATAATATATATGATAGTTTGGACAGGTTTCAACCCTTCCGAGGCGTAATACATTTACACAGTTTATGTGTAGACTACATTATAACTCATAAAATAGTTCTACAATTAAATGGATCTCCTTTTACAAACGTATATAATAACCAGAAATTTTCAGATCGTCATTGCGTGTATTTTATGCCACAAATTTTGACGAAAGGCTTTTCATTACATAAACTATACCTATTTACAGTGTTGACCAAACAGTTGGCAAGAAGCATTAATAGATAATGTACCAAATATGATAATTTTAGCTTTATTCTAATTATGACAAAACACAAAGTAACTAAAAGCGAGTTTTGTTGGTGTAGTAAGCGTTGCAGGAGGTCTACTTTACACTGAATCGACGTTCACTTTTATTGCTTTTGATCTTCCGGCACTGTTGACTCAGCGAAACTGAACTTGTATTTTACCGTATTTCGTTTTATGAAAACTGCTGTTGCATTAGGTCAAATTCCCAATAAGTCAATTGCTTTAACATAGACCACGTTTTTAGCTCGGACTGTACTATTTGACTTACTGTGATTTTTGATCTACAGACACTGCAAACATTGTAGTTTTTGACCTAGCGGCACAGGTATAAATTATTTGATCTTCCGGGACTGTTGACTTTCAGCAACATTCCCAGTAAAATCATGGTTTGATGTAGTATATACAGGGTGGCTGAAAAGTAACTTACACCCTCCCCCCCCCTTAACTTTTCAACCATTTGAGATATCTGTAATCTGTTTATGGCAACCTTCTTAAATATGAGGGGCTACAATAATTATGGTCAATTTTGAAAATTTTGCCCTTAGGGGTAGTGGGGGTAGGGGGTAGCTCAAAATTTTCATATGACAAGTATAGTCGAGTTTGGTATCATTATACAGGTCTTGAGGAAACATAACAATTGACATAAAGAAAACCAAAATCGGCCCACTAGCAAAATGGCGCCCTAAAACGTTTCAAATCCAAATAACCTAAGGGCAAAATTTTTAAAACTGACCATAATTATTGTAGCCCTTCATATCCAAACAAGTTGCTGCAAACCGATTTAAAATATCTCAAATAGTTAAAACGTTAAAGGGGGGCAAATTAATTTTCAGCCACCCTCATGGTTATTTGGATTTGGGACGTATTAGGGCGCCATTTTGTTATTAGTGTGCCGATTTTGCTTTTCTTTATGTCAATTTTTATGTTTTGTCAAGACCTGTAAAATGATACCAAACTCAACTATACTTCTCATTTGACATTTTTGAGCTACCCCTTACCCCCACTACCCCTAAGGGCAAAATTTTCAAAATTGTCCATAATTATTGTAGCCTTTCATATCTAAGAAGGTTTCCGCAAACATATTTCAAATATCTCAAATGGTTGAAAAGTTTAGGGAGGTGTAAGTTACTTTTCAGCCACTCTGTATATGAAAGAATTAGGTTTGTATAAAACACAAAGTACATCTACAATAAAGCTTTTATGATAAAACTGAATCATCATTATTTATAAAACTAGTGGCATGTAGGACAAAAAGCTCAAATGATGGCATTTGCTGAATCTGTCTGTTTTGCTTTGATGTGTGGAAAGGACTGACATGGAGCAGGAAACTGAAATAGTTATTTGTGTAACTAGTGGTGAAAGTGGCACTTTGCTGCACACGAGAGCAATGTTTACGCACGAGCCGCAGGCGAGTGCGGAATGATCTCGAGTGCAGCAAAGGCCTTTTTCACTCGTGTTACACATTATATTTTTCCTACAGTCACTATAAATCATATAAACAATTAGTCTTTCAAACACTATACAACACGTTTTTAGATTCAGCTGGCAACACAAATGGTGCCCTTAGAGAAAGTAGTACCCGCGGTCCGTATCACTCCGCTATTTTTCCTCGGCAAGAAATGTGCTCCGCGTTTTGAGAATATAGTTCCGTATGTTTTTGTAATTTAAAGTGGTTTCCGCGCCTAAAAAAAATGCTTTAAATGTATTTTTTGTTTATTAAGATCGTAGGAATGTTTTAATAACGTTTAAAAGAAAAGTCCAGGAAGTTCAGAAATACCGAAACTATAAACACGAAATGACAGGTTAAATCGTAGTTATAATAGTCAATCAGCTGCTCATAGTATTATTATCTTTAAGTGTTGCCAACCTATTTCCGAGCGTACACGGATTACGTGCATAATAGAACCACGCTGTTTTGTGTTGTTTCGTTGGAATCCTGATGTGCGGCAAAGTATAAACCGTGCGGCAAAGTATAAACCGTACGGCAAAGTATAAATATGCAGCAATTAGCAGCTTTCTGTACTATAAACAGTACAAGGAAGCCAACTTTGTCGGGTGACTGTAGGAAAACACTATTTTTGCCGAACGACGGGTGTACAAACATCCATACACACTTGTAGTAAACTGGTGAGTAGCTGCTAGTAGCTCGGCAGATGCAGCAAGGACAGACCCGCCTTAAAATGGTATTATTTAACCAAAATCGCTTGGATTTGTTTTTCAAGAACCAGCTAAAGTGAATTTTGAGGTTTATTCATGTTTGGTCAGCTAGGTAGGAGAATCCTCGAAAATGAAAGACGTACCTCAGTAGAAACCTCCTGGCTTCTTCTTTGTTTCAACACAGAGTAACATAAGTCAGAGAGGAAACCGAGACAATCTTTCCTCAGAACAAAGTCATCAAGTGTGCCCAGAGACTCGAACAAAACTGAAATATAGCAGCAGAGAACAATACCTTAGTCAATGATAGTACACAATTAAATTACACTAGGAAGATATTAGATAAATATATCCTTCCACTATTATTTAGGATCACAGAACAGCTGTGTAATATGATAGATACTATAAGAGTTTGGATATCTTAGCTCTGTAGTTTAAAATGTTATACAGTATTATTTTTTTGTTTAGTCTTGAACATTAATTTACATGTCCTAAAATGTTTGTTTAGCATAATCCATTCTTAATTACTGTAAATGTACAAGACAACCATGTTTTAAATGATTTGACTATATGGATTAAAGATAGAAATAACCACACTTTTATTATCAACATTTAACATATTTTCAAGTTTTGCTTAAGCAGTTGTCAAGTTGTTCTTTGACCACCCATAGTTTCTAGTTTGGTGTTTTAACTTAGCAGGTTTTCAGGGGGTTATCTATTTTGGCAGCTGAATAAGCCTACCGGACTATCTAAAGTACAATTAAAATAAACTTATCTATTTATAACCACTACTTTTGAATAAAATATTTTCTTTTACTTTATAAGAATTTAAGCATCCTGCAATTATTTTCCAATCATGAATGTCCTTATGATACATATTATTTATGTCTTTCATATAAGCGCAAAAAACAACCTACTTACATGGGGAAATAGAAAAGGCACTCTTCGGGTTCACTACTGCAAAGGCACAGTTTATTGTCATGTTGAATTGTTTCTTAAGCTTTTCATCAGCGTTGAGATCAAGTCCGAACATAGTAAAAGCAAGAGCATCGCTGAGGTATTCAATCACACACCTAAGACACAACGACAACAGGTAATTTTAATTTAAACTGATGTTTAAAAGATTCTCTTAATAATAAGCTGTAGAATGGAATCGCATTTTGTTTTGTTTTTCTTCATCACTAAATTAAAACCAGCGTTGTGTTAATAATTTTAACTGAATATGAATCATTTTGTTTTGTTTTTCTTCATCACTAAATTAAAACCAGCGTTGTGTTCATATTTTTAACTGAATATGAATGCAATAGTTATTTGTGCAACTAGTGAGCAAAGTGAGCAATTGCCTCTCTAGAGTTGCATATTATATTTTTCCTACAGTTACTATAAAACAAATAAATTGTTAAAAAAAACGTAACATATTTTATTTTTACACAGAAGTGAACTTTTAATATGACTAATGATACAACAGTACATCTGACCAGCTGATTTACAGTCAGTGCTGCCAACGTATTTCGCGCGCATACGACGTTGTCTGCATGTTACGCGCTTACTATTTTGTGCCTTCACATTGCTAATCTGGAGTGAGACAAAGTAATTAGAGTGAGACAATGTTAACATTGTCTCACTGATGAGTGAATTGGCCACTTTGCTTTCTCAAATCAGTGATAGAACATGTACATTGTTAGGTAACTGTAGGAAAAGTGATTGTATGATGGAGTGAAATGTCCTCTGCATTTTTCATTGGCTAAGATAAGCTGTTAATGTTAGCAAGGATCGTCTTTTCTAGTATTCGTGGGATCAAACCAGCAGCCTTCAGATTGCTTGATGAGCATTAACCATTATACTACTCATCTACCAAATATATATTTCTCATAATGTTCAACACGTCACTAGTTTTTTAACTATACCGTGCTTGGTTGTAAAAACTATATCAGTAATGTAGGTGAAGACTTCAAGATATGTCATTTAAATCAGGTAATAATAGGTCTTCTCTTCAATAAAAGACTTTAAGTCTTAAGACGTTGACCCCTAGATAACAAATTAGGTGTCTAGAATATAAATAAACATAACCGAGTTGTAAATGGTTTGTTCTTCTTTCAAGAGGTTTACACTGCATTGAAGTTTACAGTTCAATATAAACGCTTCTTACTTTGATACGTTGACTTTGGCATCGGCTTTAGATTCTCTTATGATCAGTTGAGTAAATGTATCAACTGCTTTGTTCATTCGAGGCACCAACTGTAAAAATCACATGTTAAATAAATTACTGATCGACACAAATCCTGGAATTCTTTGATATACGGTATTAAGTACAAGGGGAAAAATTAAATAAACGGCAATAACAATCTGACACTTTTTTTTCTCCCCCGCTTGTCAACAACCCTTATCATGAGTAAGCGGTGGGATTAACTCTGTGGGGTAAATCAAAAGTTACAATAACTTTTATACAGTACACTTACAGCAATTTTTTTATTTTTTTAGATTGTCAGCCTCTTTTTACCCTTATTTGCCTGTCCACTTGAGCTATGGACCTATGAGTCAAACATTTCCAGCAAAGCAAGGAGAAGGATGAACTGTACTGATAAAAAGTAAAGATAGATACCAGGATCCGAACCCTTTGACACGCTGCCTTGGGCCCGAAGTTGGCGGTACTACCGACTGAGCCACCGACTCACCAAAAATAAAAAAAGCAATCAAGGTTTACCATTTATTTTAGAGATAAAAGGACTAAAACATACTAAATAGAAATCAGTCAAGCCGTTCTTTGAAAATCCAATTTTCCATTATTTTATGGGGTTTTATGGAAAAACCACATAAATTGCAATAACTTTTGAACCGTAATTTTTACAGTGATGGGCTGTACCCTGTTTTTAGGGTTAAAAGGACTATAACATAGTACATTTTAATCAAAATCGTTCCAGCAATGTTTTGAAAATCTGATTTGTTTGTTAAATTATTGGGTTTTTATAAGAAATTACCATTAACATCACAATTTCAAAAAATGAAAAAAAAACTTATGGAGATACATATGGATTAGTACCCCCATACCAAATTTAGCATATATACACATCCACACATATAGACTCAAACGGAAAAAAACTTTGAAATCTACTTTTTTGGGGTCAGGGGGACCAAAAACCAATAAAACCACCCAAAACTCAAATTTGAAAATTTTGACGAAAACCACATGCTCTTGATTACTAAAACCTACTACTGTAGGAGGATTAAAAAAACTTAAAAGGAAACCTGTTCTCCATCTAAAGCTGTACCTAACTAAGTAAATTTGACTGGGAGGAGGCACTGTAGAGAGAAATAAAGATAAAATATTTTTAGTTTGATGTATTTTAATGAAATCTTTACTTTAATTTTCATAAGTCTGACCCTCTCCTTCACATTATGGAGGACACCACCAGACAAAAGTGGTGTAATGTTGATTCGGGTCTTTCTAAGAACCCTGACTTACTATTAAAAGTTCATTGACATTTCTCATAGCACACTTGGCAAGCTGGATTTTATAGTTTATTTTTTATTTTTACCTTCTTGATGTTTTCAGATGAAAGTGCTGCATTGGTAACCTCCTTGATACTTTTGGGCTCCGTACCTTCAATGGCTAAAAGACTCTTGTGTAGAATCTGGTTCTTCACTCTGTATGCCTAAAAGAAGAATCTGTTATTTGATTAAGGTCAAATTTGTGGTTATTGTTTAAGGCTGTTAACAAAATGAAAAAAGTATGTATATGGCACATCGAAATAAAGCTTACCCAAAGATACCCCCCCCCCCCCCCCCCCGAGCTTACCCGATGTAGATTTGCCGAAGATTATTTTCTAGATTTTTCAAGATTTTGTTTTATCATTTATAGTATTACATTTGTATTATGGCACCTTATAGAGATCTCAATTTTTTAATTTACAATCCTGATTATTTTGTCTGATCGCTGTCTTTCATTTATTTATTTGGTTATTGTATAATGAAGGAACCCCCAAACAGGCTTTGCCTCGGGGGCCCTACATTTTCTCCCAATAAATTGCACAAAAAAGGGAATTAAATTAAAATCATCTAGGTATAATTCTTAGGTTTCATTATTATGTTAATATTGTTGTGAATAAGCCAGTGTTTTTTTTTCTTCTTAGTCAGTCTGACACGTGGTACATTTCGTTTTAATAGAATATTATATCAATTTCTTTTTATTGTGTTGTGCATTGTAATTTTAATTATTGTAATACTTGTATTACTGGGAGAAAATAAATATTCTTATCTTATCTTCTTATCTTATTTGTATTAACAAATTCTCTAGACCTCTACCCTACTTGCTGATTTCCTAAGAGTAGTCGCTATAACAGGATTTACTGGCTGGGTAGCTGAGTGGTTATAGTGCTCGCCTAGTAATCAAAAGGTCGCCGGTTCGATCCTGAGAAAAGCCAGTAGCTTTTTGATGGTTCGAAACGGGAACCAGCTGTTCCTGATCATTGGGCTTTAAATAAATGATCCTAACTAATGAAACCGCTGATCTTAGTCAGTAAAGCTACACAGGTCATCACACACCATTCTACACTCATCTTTCACTCATATTTGGGTTAAAATACGCACCTAAGTGGTGTCCCCATCTCAATGATTAGGAGGGGGTCTGGACCCCCCCCCCCCGAAATGTAAGAAATAAATTTTATTTTTTGTATTCAAAATTATGAGAAACATAAACATGCGTTATACTGTTTAATTGCAATACCAACGATCAACTCAGCAACTTTAATAGTATAGGCTGGTGTCAAACTCCAACATAATACCTTTCAACAAGTATACTAGATGTTTCCCATTGTTTCAGAGAAATGAAGCACTGCTAGGAAAATTTTCGAATAAAGTAAGATTTCAATTGCAAAGATTTTCAAAAGATTCTTATAGAACAGAAGGAACAGAAACAGTTCATTTTCCATTTCGATGCATATGACGTAAAGACATAAGACATAAGACATTTATTGATCTTTAGGCAATTACATGCAATCGATCTTGTCATGGAAGCTTGTAATGCACAATAAGGCTGTCATACAACAGTAAAACATGCTACACTGAAGCAAAATAATAAGTTCATTCTATAAAACTAAATAAGAGTAGCTAAAACTAAAGCGATTGGGCATAAATTATATCTACCAGATATATATTTTTACGTTAATGGCTAAAGAGACTCTCGCCAATCCAGTGTATACATTAAAATGACTTGGATCTTGATAGGTACAGTACTCTCGTTTTCCTGGAGAAGATTGTGTAAAATGCCATCTTGAGTGTTACAGACAGACAGACAGACAGACAGATAGACAGAAATTTGGATGAGACTTGTTTCGGCTTCTTTAATGTATAAAACGTAAAAATAACCAAAAATTTAAGATTCTGAGAAATGTACAGACAAAACTCTAATTTTATTTATATAGATAGTTCAAGATGGGTTGAAGTTTACTTTTTGAAGAAGAAAAGCGATCGATGCCTAAGATGCTTTCAAAACGTACAACAACAAAGTAGAAAATTGTACAGCAAGAAAAATTAAATATCTTCAAACAATGGAGAGTAAGGGGGGAGAGTTTGATGGATTTTTTAATTGCAAAGGTATTCAGAGAAGATTATCTAGCAGCGGTACGCATCAACAAAACAGAGTGGCTCAACGGATAAACCATACATTAAATGACATGGCAAGATGTTTGCCCATTGAAGCAAATCTTCCTGAAAGGTTTTGGGCAGAAGAAGTAGCAATAGTGGCTCATATTAGGAATAGATGCTCATTAGATGCAATTGGTGTATTACTATAACCAATATCCATATAATAGATATAGCAGAGAATAATTCCAAATGTATTGTACTTCCATCAGTTTGGTTGTAAAGGTTTTATCCTAAACAAGACAAATGACAAGATTCAACCAAGAGCAAAAGAATGGATATTTGTTGGATACTCAGATGTATCAAAGGGCTGGAAGATGACCCAAAGGTCATCCTTTGGGTAAGAAAATCAATACAACTCGAGATGTCATTTTTGACACATCTTTCTTCCCATGTGTCGATATAAATCATAATAATTCAAGCAATACTTCAAGAACATGAAAATGTAAAGAAAAATCAAAGTGGTGTTCAAGGTGATCAACCAAAAGGTACTTATAAGAAAAATGCACTCGAAGGTAGGCAAACATCCACAAATGAAACTAAAGAACATTTGTCAAATGAAATGGAAGAGATTGGACACTATGAACCATAAAATACGATTGATGGAAATAATAATGGAGATGGATAATGATCATCAGAAAAATTATATTAACCTGACAGTAAGAAAATTTGAAGGAAAAGCAAGAGATATTCCTCCTAACAGACTATCATTAAAAGCTCAGGGAAATAAAATAATAAGCAATGTGATTGCACCAAAATCTTGGAAACAATTGGAGAAATTACCTGAACTTGAGAGGAATCAATGGATTGTAGCAGATCAAGAAGAAATGGAAGCTTTATTAGAAAATAACTAGAGGACCCATGCTGCTCCGCAGCGTTACAATTGATATAATATCCGAGAATTAATCAAATTTATGATTTTTTATTGAGTAATACAGTATCTTGATCTTAACTGATCCAAATGATCAATAACTCAAATTGAAGCCTATAATTTGTTGAATTTTTTGAGTCTAAAAACATTAACAATACTGGAGCTATTGATTTTTGATCATAGATAAACCTTATGAAAAATAATTTGTTTGTTGGTTGTTCACCTTGAGTTTGCTTGAATTGAAACTCATCCGATTTGAATAACCAATAGCTCAAATGAAAGCCGGCATTTCACTGAAGGTTCTTGGACCAAAATATATAGGATTATATATAATTATAACTGGTGAAATACATCTTAAATTGAAGTAAGAATTCAAAAATAAATCATATTAATATTTTTGGTCGAGTAATACAGTAGGTAAATATGTGCAGATGCTTGATGGCAAATCTTTGCGTGCATGCCTTCAAATTCCCACACAACACAAGAATATCCTTGGAATGTCCTGGGGATATCCCAGTGGGATATGGGGGATATCCTCTGTATATCCCGCAATGTCCTCGGGATATCCTGGGGAACTCCCTGGGAACTCCCTATGTCCGCCCAAATCCTGATCCCTGGGATATCCCACCAGGATATTCCTGGGATATCCCACCAGGATATTATACACAAAAACACTAAATAATAAATATTTCGTCCGAAAAGCACTTTTACCACTTAAGTATTTTAATTAAATAGTTCATAAAAACAATTTTTTGGAAAAAATAGAAACAAAAATATTTTTGCACAGACGAGTATTGAACCGGGTACCTCTCACTTATGAAACTCTTACCTTACCTCCTGAGCTATTTGTGATTGTTGATATTACTAGTTTTCAAGCGGTTAAAGAGGAGCCGACAGCTGAAATGGTCGCAATACTTAAATATTTTTGATACTATGATTCTGTTTAGGCATCAAGTTGTTAAATTGTTTTTCTGGGAGTTGTAGAGGATACTGTAATAAGAATATAGATTATAATTGTTATATGATTAATTAATATTTCCCCTTAAATTTTCAACCAATAAATTTTCTTAAATAAGTTTGAATTTAAATTAAAAAGAAAATATTTGCATTATTATTATTATTATTGTATGCAGGTGTATTATTGTTATTATTATTATAAAATGGTAAAAATTTACAGTTTGATAGTTACTCTGCCCCACGGGGATATCCTACGGATCTCCAAAGGATGTCCTAGGGATATGATCGGAAAACATGATTAGTTTTTATAAATCATTAGTAACGTTATTAGTTATTTTAATTCAAAATAGTATTGAAATACTTTTTAATAACGTTTCTCAAGCACTTGTCACTTGAAAAAATACATCCAATACTATAAAATATGTTTTAATATAGGTAGCCTACCGAGAATATCCATAGGAAGTCCCCAGGATATCCTCAAAATGCATTCGTTTGCGATGGATATGTGCAATATCTTAGAGTGATCCTAGGGACATTCTCAAATCCTGGGGTCTATGTGGGATATGTGGGAACTGGTCAGGATCCTGTGCTGTGTGTGAAAGCTGTATTCGGTAGCATATTTCGAGAAGTACTTGAGTTATTAGTGGATTTTACAAATAAATTATGAAAAAAGGATATCGTGGATATTCTAGGGATATGCCAAAGATATTCCTGTCCCTCGATCAAAAACCCTAAAAAAATTAAATTAATTATTGTAACGGAAATATGCCAGGAATGTCCCAGGGATATTCCTATATCTCATGGGATATTGGGACGTTTTGGGAACTCTGTGGGATATCCTGAGGATATTCTGTGCTATGTGGGTTGAGACCTAAATCATTAAAATCGTTAGGGTAGAAGAGCCAAACGAACTCGGAAAAGAGAAACCAAATTAAAATCCCATAAGAAATACATGAGGAGCAAATTTCGTTTACCTATAAGCCGAGTGGGATTATAGATAAATATATGCCAAAGCGAAAGCTTGATGGCAAATCTGTGCTTGCATACCTTTAATTTGTGATCGTAATCATAAAAATCGGTTGGGTAGAAGAGCCAAACGAACTCGGAAAAGAGAAACCAAATTTAACTCCCATAAGAAAAACATAGAGAGCAAATTTTGTTTGCATATAAGCCAAGTGGGATTAT